AATAATGATGACTTAGTCATTGGTCCCCTGGCCCCTTGATCTTCCCACAGGGCCTTTTCATTTCTGCTCTGTACTCCTTTTGAATCTGTGAGGTGACCAATTTCTTCAGTAGATCAATCCTCCCATACCACCACGTTTTGGAAAAAAAAAAAATAGAGGCTAGTTAGAGTTATTTCTCTCTCCCGTGTCTGCTTTAGTAGAGATATACAGGTCTGGTAACTCTCTGGGGCACTTTTATTGTCCTATGGGCTTACTATAAGTAAGAATTGACTTGATGGCAATGAGTTTAGTTGTTTTAGTTCTGAGCTGTTTCTGTGTTTACAGCTAAGAAGCTGGGAGTGATTTGCTTATTTTACAAATATGGGGGGCAATGAGCAAGACACAATACTCAAAGCTCCACTGTGAGAACTTCAGGCACAGATTTTAAAACCATTTATATGTCCCTGATAGAAATGATCATGAATCAATAGCCTTCAAGAGAGATGGGGAGATTTTTCTGGCTTATTTCTCATTTCTGTTAGGAAAAAGTTCACTTATTATTGTGTAAGGAGTTTGAAAGAGAAAGAAGAGCATAATGGTGGAAGTAGGGGAAGGACTCACATCTTCACAATGGTAGAACCGTAACTTTGAGCCACAGCTGGTTAATTCTAGTTACCTAGGAACAATTCTTCTGTTGCAGCCTGGGGATTGAAGAAGAACCCTGATAAGGTGGAAGAATCTCAGAATCTCCTGAAGTGTGAACTGGGCCAGTCAATATTTAACCAGGGATCAGAATCAAAAGAAGCAAGAACTGAGATATAATAGACCGTATATTAACATTAGCTCTAGGTCTTGATGAGGATCAATGGAATGGCTGGCTCATTGTACTAGAATCTCTGCTCTGTGAAGAGAGGAGCCATGTTGGATATAGTATTCACAACACGAGACATAATTTCAAGCACATTTCTTTCTATTACTGCTGTTGAGTCAGAACCAACTCATAGCTAAGCCTACACTGAGTTTCTGAGTCTATAAATGATACAGGAAGAGAATGCCCATCTTTCTCCTGCAGACTACCATAGACATGTGGCTTTTGTGTTAGCAGTAAACTATCTCTATACTTCCACCAGAGCTCCCTAGGCTCATAGTAGGTACTCAAGAATCATTTGCTGGATGAATGAATTGATAGGCTGATTGTCCATAGTTGTCTTGTTCCAGGCCCCAAGCATTTTGTTACTAAATAGCCTGGGTCATTGGTTTTGTATCTCTGGCATCACCCTGGGGACCAAATGGTGCCTGTTTGAGGAGCAGTGTGTCTGGAAAACACAGGAGCAGTGGCTGCAATGTGTTCCCAATATTCTCATTACTGATGACATTTACTCAGCAGCAGCTGTGGTACAAAGGCACAAGAGGTTCTTGCCCTGTAGGCCTGCAGTCTAAGTGACAGAAAACAAATCAAGCATCTTGCAGTTATTTTTTCTCTCTCTCCCAGTCCTCCCTACCCCCAGCCCCACCCATCTTTCTTTTCTCTGGTGTTTTATTATGTTAAGCCTCAGAGAAGTAATAATGTCCTATACTTATAACAAAATCAGCAGGAATAATAATTTTCCATTTTATAGATAAATAAATGAAAGACAAGAGTCATGCAGGGGCTTGCCCAGTGTCAGATTCATGTTGGCCAGCGTCATATGTTGACAGCCTGGCCTCGCGCACCTATCTTCATTTCTTGTGCTCTTTCCAGATGTCACCCAGTCTCTTCAACCTGGCAGCTGGAGTTTGCTTTCTTGATGCCAAACTAACTATGTCACTGCAGCCAGAATTTGGGTCTCCTATTGGAAAAATGTCCTTGGCAAAGAGGGTTTTAAGGCATTTGAATGAGGGGCAGTTTCAAGGGTCAGGTGGGCCAGGGGAAATAATTAACCTAGCTGGCTTTTAGAAATAATTGTGGGTTGGATATAAGTTTATAGAGCAAATTAGTTTTCCATTCAAATTTTGTATAAAGTATATTTCATGACATTAGCTTGCATCCTCAGTGAAATAGCCCTCTTCCTATTTCTTCCCTGGGCTCCTCATTTTTGCTTGTTCATTTTCCCTGCCTTTGGAACATTGTTTTTTGGCAAATCTTCCCTTTTGGTTTCATAAGGTGGATTGCTCTGATGAATATGTTTTTCATAGGTGTTACTGTTTACTTGCTAGGCCTGTCCTGCTGAAAGGTAGCCTCTGGGAATAGGTTTGGTTGTAGGTTTGAAGGGTGTCTAAGGGACATAGTCTCAGGAGTTCCACCAGTCTCTATCAGATTAATAAGTCTAGATTTAAAAAAAATAATATTGAATCTTGTTCTGCATTTTTCACCTGCTTTCTCCAGAACCTCATATTGGGATACCAATTCGAGTGATTGGTAACTGTAGCTGGGCACCATCTAGTTCTTCTGTTTTCAAGGTAGTGGAGGTTGTGGTTTGTGTGATCCATTAATCCTTTGGATTGTTTCCTTGAGTCATTGATTTTTTTCCACTCTTCTTTAAATAATAACCACTTTGTTCCAGATGGGAATAGACCAATAGATGTATCCTAAGTGACCCCTTGAAAACTTTTAAGATCCTAGTTACTGGGGTTTTTGTTGTTGTTGTTTTAACCATTTTAATGAAAGGTTACAGAGACTTTGGATTTCTATTCATTCCCTGTTGCACTCTTCTCCCTGCCCACCCCTCCACCCGTTGGCTATTCTCTTTGAAAAGTAAAAGAAAAATTCTTTCATTGTTATACAATCCCTTCCCCCAAGTCCACTCCACTATGCGGCCTTTGTTCTGGACTCCTGCCATGACAATAATATCTAATCATACATCCCTTTTAAACAGTTCTATCCCTCATATGTTTCAATGCAGTATACATAATTTAACCCATCTTTCTCAGTCCCCCCCACCCCAGCCATGATGTCAGTCCTGTTTTACAACAGTGGCACTATGCAGTATTTGTCCTTTTGTGATTGAGATATTTCACTCAGGATAATGTCCTCCTGGGTCATCCATATTATGTAAGATATCATGAGTTTCTTGTTTTTCAATGCTGTATAATATTCCATTGTATGAATATATCACAGCTTCTCTATCCATTCGTTTGTTGATGGGCACTTAGGTTGTTTCCAACTCTTTGCTATTGTGAACAAAGTCGTGATAAACATGGGTGTGCATATATCTGCTTGGGTGGCAGTTATGGTTTCTTTGGGGTATATTCCCAGTAGTGAAATTTCTGGGTCAAATGGTATTTCTATTTGCAACTTTTTGAGAAAACATCATACAGCCTTCCACAGTGGTTGCACCATTTTACACTCCCACCAACAGTGAATAAGGGTTCCAGTTTCTCCACAACCTCGCCAGCACTTGTTGTTTGCTGTTCTCTTAAATTTTGCTATTCTTACTAGGTTGAGATGGTATCTCATGGTTGTTTTGATTTGCATCAGTCTTAGAGCTAGGGATTTTGAACATTTCTTCCTGTGCTTGTTAGCCATCTGAATGTCTTCTTTGGTGACGTGTCTGTTCATCTCCTGTGCCCATTTTTCAATTGGGTTGTTTACCTTTATCTTGTTGTGGTAGATCCTAGTTATTGTTAACCAAAGTAGAATATATAACACTGTCTTTATGGTCCATGTTATGTCAATTAATCTTTATGCACCTTTAGACTATGGTTACAAGCCCTTAAGCCCAGTGACTTGATCCTTGAAGTGTTTGATTATAGCTAAGAAGTTTGCATAATTTTACTTCTGTATGCTTTATCTGGACTATTCACACCACATACATACTTGGAAATGTCCTTTGCCAAACTTATATATGCTTATGTGTATACTTCCATATGCCAAACCAAATCTGCTCAGCTTACATATCTACCTAACTTCACCAACCCCCATTGCCCTAGTCACTAGGGAAATCCAAAATCTCTGTAAATGTTCATTAAAATTAGTAAAATAAAATTTTTAAAAAGGGTGGATTTTCATTGATTGTCGTACATTTTCTTCCTTACCCCCATAGTTAACTTAAAAATTCATTCACTGTTGCATAACCTCTTCCTTATTGTATATTACCTATCCTTTCACCCATGTCAGTGAAGGAAAGATCTCCAATGAGATGGACTGACACAGTGAGGTATCCCTGGGCTCCAGTACGTCAGACATGTCCAGGATGGCACAGGATAGTGCAGGGTTCAGGTTGACTCATAGCTGACCCTCAGGGGGTTTTCAGAGCTGGAGGGCCAGCCACGAGTCAGTTCTGCTTCCATGGTAAACAGCAACAAATCACACAGGAGGACGTTGCACATCTTTCTCCCGCGAAGCTGCTGGTGGATTCGAAGCACCCAAGAGGGGTCACCTTTCGGTTAGCAGTGCAACTCTCTACCTGGCTACACCGCCAGAGTTCTCTGTTTTCTACTAAATAGCCCAAACGCTAGTATATCAGTTAAAAATGCCCAGGGGCTTTTGAAACCAGGCGTTCTCATGTTTAAAGGTAAGAGCAAGCAGCATCGTCAGCTGTAGTTTCTAAGAGATTATCAAGACCTGCTCAGTTCAGTAGAGTCCGAGTGACTTTCTTTCTTTCCTTTTTAAAAATTTTATTATTTTGTGTGTGTGTACCGTCAAATCAGATCTTACTGGCACAGGAGGAGATTGTTCCTCCTTCTCCAGCAGAGAATCTGGTGGATTTGAACCGGGCACCTCTGGGATTGCAGTGCAGCTTCTTGCCACTAGGCCACCAGAGCTCGCCCCGCATAACTTTCTGTGGTGTAGACGTGTTGGTAAAAGGAAAGACAGAGGGATGTTTCGAGGCCTTGAATAAATAGGCACAGCATTTATTATTTGTTTTTTTAGGCACAGCATTTAGAGCAGCCGGTATATTTTTAGATTTTAGCACAAGCTAACCCTCCCCAAGGCCTGCCTCCTGAAGCTCCGCCCCTCAGCAGCCTCGCCAGTCTTGAAGCGACCGCGGCCAGCCCGCGTCCTCCCCGCGTCCTCCCCCAGGCCTGGCGGCGGGGCGCTCTCAGCAGTTGGGGTTGAGCACGCGGCAGGCGCAGGCGCTGCGGAAGAAGCGGCACAGGCAGGAGGCGCAGGGGTCGCAGCAGGAGGGCGCCGGCGGCTTGCAGCTGTCGCGGGTGGCCACGCAGCCAGCGGGCGGCGGGGGTCGGGGCCTTGCCGCCTTCTTCACCGGAGCGGTTTTCTGCGGGGTTGAGGGGGAAAGGCCGGGATTGCGGGAACAGGCCACACCCGCTCCACCTGTCCCCACTTCTATCAGGATGTTCCTCGAGTTGCAGAGGCCGTGGCCCCTATAATCCACCCGACTGACCTCCTGACCCATGCCCACAGGGCACCTCAACTGCTCCCAGCTTGCTTCCCCATCACAGTCCTCCTGCCTGCATCCCTACCAAAACTTCTTGACTTCTGGTTCTCTTTCGCCCCTGATGGACCCCCCTCAGTCCCATAGCTTTTTTGTTTCTTCCCTCCATGTCTGAGGGGTAATGTGCCGACTTCGTAACAAGGTTTAGGGGAGGCACATGTTATACAAAAGCATGAAGACCCGAGCATCACACTCATGAACCAGGAAAAGGTTCAGCCCCACAGCTTTTCATTATCACCTCTGCCTTCCTCCTTCCATTCTATCAACATTTCCTGCCGTCTCTGAACCCACTTTTCCACCTCCACTGCAACAACTGTGGGCAGGGTCACCAGCTTTTCTCGTTTCCACTTGGAGCGCCTTACCTGACATCCACACTCCAGAGCTCTAAAAGAACCTTTCCGAAGATATGATAGTATCCCCACCTTGCTTAAAGATTTGTATTACCTTTTCTGAATATTCATTAGTGCAAACCTGAGACCCTATGTGGTCTGACCCCTGGCCACTTCTCCAACCTTTAGTCTCTGCCCCCTTTCTGTATACTTATTGTTGCTGCTAACCCTTTCCATGTTGTTGCCATGCCTTTCCAGCACTTCGAATTCACCAGTGACTCTGCAAGAGAAAGATGGACAATCTCTTCCCATGTGATTTACAACCTCAGAAACCCAATGGAGGATCAGCTCTGAGTCGGTTTCTGCTGCAGCTTTGCATGCTATGCTCCCTGCTGGGCCCACCTTTGCTGTGCTATCCAATACAGGGAGCCTCTGACCACATGCAACTGAATATTAAAAATATGCAAAATGTAATTGTACTTGAATCCATATTTGACATATGTCTGCTGCAACTTGAGAAATAAATTTTCGAATCTGTATTTTAATTAAATTTTAAAATTGAAGCAGTGTAAGAATTTTTCCCCCTCCCCAATTAAACACTATTTTATTGTTTGGGTAGGATTGCATTTCACTGTTGTTGAAAATACAGTGTAGTTAAAATTAAGATGTGAAAGCACAGAATGTGTGTCAGACTTTAAAGACTTACTAGGAGAAAAAATTGCAAAATGTATCATTAATGATTTTTATATAGATTACATATTAAACTGATAATAGTTTAGAAATACTGGCCTAAATAAAATTGTTGTTGTTGACTGCCTTTGAGTCAAGCACAACTAATAGCGACCCTCTGAACAAAAGGCTTGAAGCCTTTCTGTAACTACTGACATTTTTCAAAGTTCATAGAGTTTCTGGAGGCATTGTACCTTTATATATTTACATTTTTTTTCTTAAAGGGGAAAGCATGAACGGAATCCCCCACTACCACAAATTTATGTGGTTGATTTCCCCACATTTGGGGATTTGCAGCGGTCAGCACATCTGGAGTGCAGGGCATAAGCCTAGACCTGGGAAAACCACCTTCTTCTTATCTTTCTGCCAGGTAAGTATGAACTTTATCTTTTAAATGTGGCTGATAGAAAATGTAAATCGATATATGTAGCTTTTATTATATTTCTGTTGAACATTGGATTATTTTGAATTTTCCAACCTTTTCCTTTAGTGTTATTTCCTCAGAGAGGCCTCTCCCTAAGTATTCATCCCTGCCTTCATTCCCTGTTTCATTTAAAAAAAAAAAAGCAACTGATTGCCATCAAGTTGATTCTGACTCTTAATGTTGTTGTTAACTGCCACTGAGTTGACTACAACTCATAGCAACTCTATGAACATAGCATCCTCATCATCTCTGACAAACTCAATAGTGACCCTGAAAGACAGAGTAGAGCTTCCACTTAGGGTTTCTATAGAAACAAGCTGCCACGTCTTTCTCCTACAGAGCAGCCAGTGGTTCAAACCACCAACTTTGGTTACCAGTCAAGTGCTTAAACCACTGCACCACCAAGACCGTGTTGAATCCTAGAGTCTTTAAACCCTTCAAAGAGAGCTCTGGTGGCCTAATAGGTAAAGATTTGTACTGCTGACCCAAAGGCAGGTGGCTTCAATCTACTAAATTGCTTCACAAGCGACAGATGGACAATCTCCTGAGTGATTTATTGTCACTGAAAACCTGCTGCGAGACCAGCTATGCGTCAGTTCTGACTCAATGAGACGTAAACACACAGCAAATCCTTCAAAGTGTTTATCATTATCTGAATCCATCGTCTGCTTTTATTGATTTCATTGTTCATCTGTTGCCCCCCAAACGCCTCTCTCATGAACTGCTAGCATGTTATGTATATTTGCCAGTCACGTGATCTGATCCTTTACTTTCCAGCCTGAGAAACAGGCCCAGAGAGGGGCAGGGACTTCCCGAGGTTTACCCAGGGCTAAGTTTCTTGTTCACTGCTCACTCTTCTGGTTCCAGTTGACCTCTGGAACCTGAAGCAAACTAGAACAGGAGTAATATATGTGTGTCAGCAAGCCTTAATCCAGTATTTCTCAAAGTGTTGAAATGTGGACCATGGTGTTGATTTTAGGTGGTATATAAGTATTAAGCAGTCTTGAATCACAGAGTGATAGAAGTTTCTGTTTTCAGTCTTTCAATTGGAATGGCTCAGCTTAGTGTCAGCAAGTCATTAATGCCTCTCCAGCACTTGCAAATCTGTCTTTTAACACAGAGCAGGCCTCAGATTTAGTTAGAGCCTTTGGCAGGCCAACTGTCAGCTAGAGTATATGAAACGTTTTCTTTTCCTTGTTTTTATGATTATCTTCTATTTATGGCAAGTGTTAATCATTTATTATTATATTTTCCTAGTTTTTATTTTAAAATAAATATATTTAATACATGAAACTCAGATATGACTAAAGCTATGAATGGATCTTTGAAATGACTGAGCTTTGAAAAGCATCATGCGAATCGAAAACAAGGGTGAGGGTAAGATTTTAGGTAGGTGCCTGCCTAGTTTGGGCAGGTGCTTGTTAGCAGGTAAGCTGTAATTACATTATGTAATCACTCACTACTGTTGAGCTGGAACCAACTCATTGGTGACCCTGTAGTGGGTTTTCAGACACTGTAAACCACAGTGGAGGAGAATGCACATTGTTGTTCCTCAGAGAAACTGGGGGATTTGAACAGCTTGCTGCTTTTTGGGGGTTGGCAGCACAACTTCTTACCATTAGGCCACCAGAGCTCCCTATAGTTATATAAAGAATTTAAAGATGGCCTACGTTTATTAGCCCCATGCTGTTTACTTTTTCAGAGCAAGCTGAGGCCTCCTTGTCTCCTAAAGTTCACAGTGCTAAACTCAAATCTGTATATATCTAATTTTTTTAAATAGCCTAATGACTCATATTTTTAGCTTCTACTCTGCTCTTCTCCATAGTTTTTCAAGCCCTTTAGCACCTCTCTATATACCCCAGAAAACTACACTCAAAATCTGCTGGCCGTGGATAAGAGAAAAATCCTACTTTCTAGGATGCTGCTGTCCTTGTAAGCTCTCTGATCCACCTTGTTGCAGGAAGTAACACCTAGGGCCAAGTAAGCTTCTTCCCACTCTTCCCATTGATTTTCACGCTCTAGATTCTGAAAGTTATTGAAGGTTTCTCTCTCTTGTGGGAGAGTATCTCCTGAAGCAATCTGTCTTTACTTAAATAAACAGCTTATTGTGCTATGGTATCTCATGGTTATATATAT